GCATTGAGCCACCAAAGCTGGTGGGAACATCCCGGGCCCCGGGAAGAACGTCGATAGGCAGAGGAAGTTCGCGGTTTTCCGCATCCGACAAGGCCTTAACCTTGTCCAGAGGGGAACGATAGACATTCCCCTCCGGCTGAGAGTCCGATAGAAACGAGCGCAGGATAAAAGCCGCAGTCAACGAGGCCCCTGTCGCGGCCAGGAGGGGAAGTTGGCTGCGGTGGCTTGCCAAGAAATCGGAGAGTGAGTCGACGGTCTGATTGTACCAAGCCATGTCTCTTGTCTATGAATAATGTCTATGATATAATCCAAAACTACAAGAAAGAAGAATTCAAGGGGTGGGCTAAAAGTGAAAAAAGAAATGCAGGCTGAATAGAATGGAAATCGAGCAAGAACAAGGTAAGAAGTTGGCCGACATCACGGGCAAGGATGTTAACCACTTGTTGGCCTTGGACCGACTATTCCTCTTCGGGCCAAATGATTTTGTCACCGGGACTCCGATAAGAGATAAACCAAGTCATGTGCCATCCACAGCCGAGGCTTCTTCCCTTCCACAGGATCAAACAGCAGTCAATCTCTCTTTATGGTCATTAGAGCAGACAAATCTCTACGGAATACTCAATCAGGCTATGTTGAGAAGAAGACGCAGTGGTCAATGTTATTACCTGAAAGATGTCATGTGAGATATCTTCTCGTTAGTATCTGTCGACCCACTCATGATCGCATTTACTCAGTATATATCCTCGGACCGAAGCATAGGTATCCTAGCCAAGGACTATCTAGAGGCTGAATCGGACGACAGAGATGGCTCAATGCCGATAAATCATCAAATCACTCCAGGCAGTCATGACCTAGGAAAGAAGAAAATCATGTGGAGGATACCCGGACCGACAATACCCATGCACAGTACCACGAGGGTACACCATCCTAGTCAACATGTGAGGTATCAACGTTCGCCAAGGCCTTCTTCCTGTCCTTGCGCGTGGGTAAAACCAATTCGCCAAGGTTCCAAAAGTCATGAGATCCGAGGGCTCTGCGCATGAGGATGTACACCAGCTTGGCAACATGCACAGCAACAGGCAACAAAGACATTGCCGAAGAAGCGCTCTCCATAGAGAATAAGACCAGTCAGCAGCAGCCTCAACAAACCCCCGTCTCGACAAAAACGCGGAGATTACCTCCGTGTACTCCTGAAAAGGGCATTCCCGGCTAAATGGAGATGACTACCCACTTAAACTGGACAGCCGTTGGACGGCTTCTAGCCATAACCGGGAAGCGATCTGCAAGGTACAGCGCCATGGCTTATTCCGGCTCCGTGAGACGATGAACTCAGTAGCACCCCTACTAGTTATTTGGCTTGATATACCGAGAAAAATATGTGCCTCTGCCGCGGAACCACCCCCACATTAGCCGCTGTCAAAATGAGCTTCAACGAGATCAGGAAATGAAGGGATGAAAGCGGCTACAGAAACAAGTTGTTGTCTGCTGGTTCTCCGACATCGGGCGATGCATCACACCGCCATGAAACATCAAAGTGTCTGAGATGCCAACCCGCGGCCGCCCCTTTAGTCTACTGTGGGGAAGCTTTGATGCGAATCTGAATTAAGTGAGGTGAGGTGGAATGAGAAAGTGTCCAATCAGAATCGATGCTCCTATCGGCTTTGATCGGAGCCAAAGGCGCCCCCCGTTCAGCCACCTGCAAGAAGGATGCTATGCCCAAGCCAAAGGTCGAGGTCATTGATGGAATCTCGTTCCCCGCACTCCGACGATCGACAAGGTCAAAGTGAATACTGAACATAATGAATTAATTGATTAGGGTCATCGATGCAGGAGGGACCGGTCGACGCCCAACCAACGCCACATCTGCCACATCTGCCACATCGCCGTTCGTATAGTGATTAATCGAACATCAATCCAATCACTTTGATAACACTCAGAATACAATTGAGACAGTTACTTCGACCCATAGCCTTGCTATCGAGCCTTTTACAACTAACCTCGGACTGAAGCTTTCTACTTGTGTTTCACGAGGAAAACAAACGATCGCTTCTTTCAGTAGAGTGCTGTTTTCAAAGTGAAACTAACCTGAGACTAAGCCCGCTCCAGAGACGAAGAATCATGGTATCAATCCTTCTGGCCTAAAACTCCGCATCCGATGCGGCATGAACAGCTAGCCAGCTTGTATAGCAGGATCGAACTCGCAGAACCAGGACATTGCAGGTGACTGAAATAGCTCGGAGTAATCTCCGGCATTGCAATCTTGAAACCCTGTGGATCAAGTAGGCCAGGTCTAAGTCAATTGAATTCAACAACACACGGTACTTGCCGCCTTTGGATCCACTTTCCGGACATGGCGAGGCGCTCACTGCCTTTCTATGAGACGGAGGTAGTTCTTGCTGCACGAAATAGGAAAGCAACTACATTCCGAAACATTCTCTCGACGGTATAGCGGTCCGTTGTACCGTTGCGAGACAGATTTGGCCTTTAGCACTATTCAAGGACGATGGCTTCCAGCGACCAACAGAGGTATAAAAGGCAAGAAATTCCCAGTCGAGTCAATTCAACATCTCTGCAGGACAGACAATCAAGCACAACCAACAATCGACTCAGCGAAGTATCCAAGAAAAATGTATCAACGCGCCTTGCTCTTCTCTGCGCTCTGGAGCGCAGCTCGCGCTCAACAGGCCGGAACCTCGACTGCGGAGACTCATCCTGCTTTGACCTGGCAGAAGTGTACTGCTGCTGGCAGCTGCACAGAGCAGAGTGCTTCCGTGGTCATTGATTCCAATTGGCGTTGGGTTCACTCTGTGGAAGGCTACACAAACTGCTACACTGGGAACACTGTGAGTCGTGTGAAAGCACCAGCTCTGTTACAGCAATTGACTGACACGCTCCGCAGTGGGATGCCACTTTGTGTCCCGATGATGAGACCTGTGCTTCGAACTGTGCTCTGGATGGCGCTGACTATGAAGGCACCTACGGAGTCACCACCAGCGGTGATGAATTGACGCTTAAGTTCGTCACCGGGTCCAATGTCGGCTCGCGTCTCTACCTCATGGACACCAGCGATGAGAAGTACCAGACATTCGACCTCTTGGACGCCGAGTTTACCTTCGATGTCGACGTGTCCAATCTCCCTTGTGGGTTGAACGGAGCCTTGTACTTCACCGCCATGGACGCCGACGGTGGAGTGTCCCGATTCCCGACCAACAAAGCCGGTGCCAAATACGGAACAGGATACTGCGATTCCCAGTGCCCGCGGGATCTGAAGTTCATTGACGGACAGGTCAGTATCAGTTATCTACTGGACTACCGCCTCAAACCAGGCTGACGTTAGATGAAACCAGGCAAACGTGGAAGGTTGGACCCCCTCGACCAGCAACTCCAACTCCGGGGTCGGCAACCACGGCTCCTGCTGCCCGGAGATGGACATCTGGGAAGCGAACAAGATTTCAACTGCATTCACTCCGCACCCCTGCGACTCAGCCACCCAGGTAATGTGCGAGGGCGACGCCTGCGGCGGAACCTACTCTTCCAGCCGTTACGCGGGCACCTGCGACCCCGACGGGTGCGACTTCAACACCTACCGTATGGGCAACGAGACCTTCTTCGGCCCCGGGCAGACCGTCGACTCCAACTCGAAGATGACGGTCGTCACCCAGTTCATCAAGGGCAGCTCCGGCTCCCTGTCTGAGATCCGCCGCTACTACGTGCAGAACGGCAACGTGATTGCCAACGCCGCGTCCGACATCAGCGGCGTCACCGGCAACTCGATCACCTCCGACTTCTGCACGGCCCAAAAGACGGCCTTTGGGGACGAGGACATCTTCGGCGACCACGGTGGACTCACCAAGATGGGCGACGCCCTCTCGTCCATGGTCCTCATCATGAGCTTGTGGGACGACTCCTACTCCAGCATGGAGTGGCTGGATAGCCACTACCCCACCAACGCGACGGTGACCGACCCCGGTGTTGCCCGCGGCACTTGCGAGACCGGCGAGGGTGACCCCAAGACGGTTGAGGCGGCGCACCCCGATGCTTCCGTCACCTTCTCCAACATCAAGTTCGGCCCGATCAACTCGACCTTCAGCGCTTAGATGGCGGACCTCGAGTCGAGTGTCGAGTGAGCTCAGCGGCGAACACATCGGGCCGGCTCCTGATGTGAGGGAAATCAGTCCTACTCTGGCCAAGGAGAATGTCGCCCAGTACATGGCTATTTTTACATCTTCTTTTCGGTTTCTCCGTTCGTTTCTGCTCATTGTTCTTCCGTGACTTTTCTGAATTTGATCTTCTCTTGGATTCTGTATATACATAAATGGAAAAAGAATTATCCCGGGTATAAGACCAAGGCCAATCGAAGTAACGCGTCTAGCAGAAGGACTTCGGGCAGGAACCTTGCTCATAGGATCATCATAGTCCGCATCCCGTCACGACAACTCACAATAGCCTGCTTTCGAAATGACTATTATTTGATATGTGCGGAAGAATTCAGATTGATTATACATGGAGGAGACAGCATGGCATGAAAACTCGGAACGGAGCCCAAAGTGACTCAAATTCGTAAGATCGTCTGTACTGTTGAGGGCTGGGTCATACGGGATTAGAAGTGTGGACTGGAGACAATGGCGTAGACTGACCGGTCAGTCGGCACTATCAGAAGCAATTAGATCCGTAATTCACAATAGAGCTCTTTACCCATTCGAGCCTGGACTGCTAGTCTCTTGGAGTTAGTGAATGTCAACTCAGCCTGTTGACTCCTATAGAGCGTTGCTTTAAAGTTAGACCGGACTAGAAGTGAATCCTCGTACCCAGAAGCAAGAATTTGTCTCGATACCCAGCGTCTAGTCCCGTGCCAATGCGCCTGCATTCACACGGCAGCGGCGATAAGCGGCTTATCAGCTGTCAAGCTACCGGAAGATTGACCGGAAGATCGGTCGGCCCGCCCCCATCAAAAGTCGGAGCTTGCGGCCGGCACCAAAGACAAATCTACTTGGGAGGTAGCTCTTTTGAAAAAAAAAGTCATAAAAGAAAGTCTACTATACGAGTGGGATAATTCAGGTCCATTGCCTCGATTGCCGACCCGTCCACACACAAAATGTTCGACACGGTCTGTACCTTGCCGCTGTCGGCGGATCTGTTCTCGCAGGCCATCCACCCAAACGAGCCCATCGTCTCCGTTGGTCTTGCTACGGGCCATGTCCAGACCTACCGACTCCCCTCTGAGGAGGCGGACAGCGACGATGACGGGGCCTCGACGTCTTCGTCCCGCAACGGCAAGGGCCACATCGACACCATGTGGAGCACGAGACGACACAAGGGCAGCTGCCGGTGCTTGACTTTCGCGCTGGACGGCGAGACCCTGTACTCCGCTGGCACGGATGGGTTGGTCAAGGCCGCGAAGGCGGAGACCGGGGTGGTGACGAACAAGATCGCGATCCCCACGTTAAAGGATGGGTAGGTGATCTTCTTCACGTGCCAATTGGGACATCATGTGTCCTATGAGGTCAATTGATGCTCAAGTGTCAGCGCAATCGCTAACGCAAGGCTTTGGGGCCAAAATCCAGATCCGTCGACGCCCCTACCATTGTGAACGCTCTTTCCCCTCAAACCCTCCTCCTTGCCACTGACTCCAGCGCCCTTCATCTCTACGACCTCCGCACCCCGTTCTCCAAGGTCTCCGCCAAGCCGCAACAAACGCACCACCCCCACGATGACTACGTTTCCTCGCTCACCCCGCTCCCCGCGTCCGATACCAGCACCTCTGGGTTCAGCAAGCAATGGGTGACCACGGGTGGCACGACGCTGGCCGTGACGGATCTCCGTCGGGGCGTGCTCGTGCGCAGTGAGGATCAGGAGGAAGAGCTGATCAGCTCGGTGTACATCGGCGGGCTGGCGACCAGCGGGACGAGCCGCGGCGAGAAAGTGGTGGTGGGTGGCTCCAACGGCGTGCTGACGCTGTGGGAGAAGGGTGCCTGGGACGACCAGGACGAGCGCATCTACGTCCAGCCCCGCACCGGTGGCGCCGACTCGCTGGAGACGCTGACGGTCGTGCCGGAGGAGCTTGGCAAGGGGAAGATGGTCGCCGTGGGTATGGGTGGCGGTGCGGTCAAGTTCGTCCGGATCGGCAACAACAAGGTCATCTCGGAGGTCGTGCACGACGAGACGGAAGGCGTGATCGGCTTGGGATTCGACGTCGAGGGGCGCATGGTCAGTGGTGGCGGTCAGGTCGTCAAGGTCTGGCATGAGGCGGTCGGGTCCAGCGGCGCGAATGGATCCCACCTGGGCGACAAGCGCATGTACGGCGACAGTGATGATAGCGATGATGATGATGATGACGACGACGTTGACAGTGATGCGGGATCCGGCGATGACAGCGAGGAAGAGAGACCCCGCGCGGTGCAGCAGAAGAAGCGCAAGAAGGGCAAGGGAGCCAAGGGAGGACAGCAGATCATGGCCTTTGCCGATATGGACTAAGTGATACCCCCGCCCACCAAAAAGATGGCACTGTACGGTGACATCGAGTGGACAAATGAAATATAGCGATACTCGCCTCAATGACCCCGAGTAGGTCGCGAGGATGATATAGCAGAGAGACCAAGTATACAACGCTTTAATATGAATTAAGCTATCTTTCCAAGGGTCTACGCTGCTTAGCGGTCGACTCGGCTAAGATCAGGCCTAGTCCTTTAGCTCCATAAGCGCTACTTTTAGCGTGTGCCCGATACTAACGACTGCCCGCACGGCTGCATCCGGGAAAGGAGAAAGGCAGAACATACGGTACATTAGCAACGTCTGCATTTCTGCTGGTTCACGCGGTGTCAAAGATGGATGACCGGCGTGAATGTATACACTGAATAGACATTCGGAGTGGTGAAGAATGATGAAGCAGCTGTGGGGGAAGACTGCAATGGGCGCAGACTAGCGGCAGCGATACTGGCTTGCCGATTCAATGGATCGTGGCAACGGTTATTGCTCCTCAGATGCGTATAGATTAAGCGTCAGTGCTTGACATTGAGGATGTCGAGAGTGCACCGTCTGTCTGGCGCGGCCTGCCACGGGATAATTCCTTGCCGATATCGGCAATCCATCGTTGTCTTGTTCATTCCTTTCCTCTCGTGTATAAGCATGGTTCAGTTATAAGAAGGGTAAATAATAGTTGCAGCATCCATAGTTGCATGCCTTGTTGATGTTGATGTACCAGTCAACAAGATAATCAATTCTCGCGAGAAATTGTGTAGAACATGGAGGTACGGAATCGATAGCGGGCGAATTGCCGAAGCCCTCCACCTTCGGCGCGGGTGCGACCCACGGCAAAAGCCTTTGCCTTAACCGCCCCAATGGCTTCATGACGTTGACGTCGGAAGTGGTGGGGTGTGGGGAAAATACCTTTATTATTCATGATGATCAAGCTTCGGATATCTCCCTGAGACTCGGATCCAGGCACATCTTACTAGACTATTTATATCTATCAGGATCACCCCCGAACCCTCTCATCTCTTCCCCGCTATCTTGCAATCCCAATAAACCTGCGCACCATTCACCTCCAAACCTCCACTCACCATGGATGCTTTCGAATACAATTCCAACCCCGGCCGTGTCATCTTCGGCAGCGGCACGCTCCAGAAGCTCCCGGATGAGGTTGCCCGGTTGAATGTGAAGGCCCCCTTGGTGCTTTCGACCCCCCACCAAGTCAGCCAAGCCGAGAGCGTCAAGGCCGTCCTCAACGGCCATGTCGCGGGCATCTTCAGCGAGGCCACCATGCACACCCCGACCCACATCACCGACCAGGCACTGGAATACGCAAACGCGCAGGGCGCGGATGCCGTCATCTCCGTCGGCGGAGGTAGCACCATCGGCCTCGGAAAGGCCATCAGCATCCGCACCGGACTACCGCACATCTGCATTCCCACGACCTACGCCGGCAGTGAGATGACTCCGATCCTGGGCGAGACCGCCAATGGTCTGAAGAAGACTCGCTCCGATCCCAAGATCCTGCCGGGCACGGTCATCTACGATGTGGACCTGACCATGACCCTGCCTGCCGCCATGAGTGCCACGAGTGGTGTGAATGCCATCGCGCACGCTGGTGAGTTTCCAACCCTTTCAGCCCCCGAATTGATTTTGAGAATCTGGATGCTGATTTAGAACCCGCGACGCGACAGTGGAGGCGCTCTACGCTCGGAACACCAACCCCGTCATCAACCTGATGGCCCTGGAGGGCACCCGTGCGCTGGCCTCCGCCCTGCCGGAGATCGTGGAGAACCCCGGCTCCTCATCGGCGCGCTCGTCTGCCCTCTACGGCGCCTGGCTGTGTGGTACGTGCCTGGGCAGCGTTGGCATGTCCATCCACCACAAGCTCTGCCACACCCTGGGCGGGAGCTTCAACTTGCCCCATGCGGAGACCCACACCGCGGTCTTACCGCACGCCATCTCGTACAATGCGCCCAAGATCCCCGAGGCCATGAAGAAGCTGGCCGAGGCCCTTCCGGAGAGCAACGGGGACGCCATCCACGGCCTCAATGTGTTGCTGTCCAAGCTCAAGGTCAAGCGCGGCCTCAAGGATTTCGGGATGAAGGAGGAGGATATCGACAAGGCTGCGGACATTGCGGTCAGCAACCCGTACTGGAACCCGCGCGAGATCGAGCGGGAGCCCATTCGTGAGCTGATCCGGCGTGTGTGGGCTGGTGAGCCGGCCCGGGCGGATTTGTAGATGGCTAAGTTACCTCTCTGTATATATTTATCACTATAAGAAACTTAAGCTTAGGTATGAGACGGCCATTGAATCCAGGTTCTATATATGCAATTATGGTTGACTTGTAAAGAATCGTGGTGAGAATGGTTCGTTGCTTTAATTCTACTTTGTATGTATGGCAGCACAAACAAGTAATCCTCATGCTCGCCATTGGCTCCCCTGCGGATGGCGGGGTGAAAGTGGGGTGGAAATCCGTTGGATTTTCCTCCCAGTCAAAAATTCCGCCCGATTTCCCTCCCCACCACCTTCATCAACACCATTCTCAATTGCCAGCCCTGGGCTGCTCACGATACTACCAAACACTGCTCTACAATACCTCTCACCAAAGCTAACGATATGGAGGCAGCCCCCGTCCTCTCCACTCCGGATGATCGCATCCTGGAATCCACCGACCCGGTTGCGTCTCAGGAACCGAATCGCACGCTCTCCGATGAGGAGCTCTCGATTACCTATGACATCGAACGCACACTGAAAGAGATCCGCCAGGCACGGTATAAGCGCATTGCGCTCCAATTTCCAGATGACATGCTCCCCGATGCACCCCGGGTGTTCCAACTCCTCAGCCGCGGTCTGGACGTGACCGATGCCCCCCCTCAACCACACAGCAACGGGCAAAGCAGCACCGACGGTGCCGAACAGCTAGCGGAATCGGTTGGCCAGCTCCAGGTCGATGCGACTCCCGCGCCTGCCCCGAAACTATACATTCTGGCGGATACCTCCTACGGTACATGCTGCGTGGACGAGGTGGCCGCGGAGCATGTGGATGCGGACGTTGTCGTGCACTACGGCCGGTCGTGTCTGTCCCCGACAGCCAGGCTGCCGGTCATCTACGTTTTCACACAAAAGCCTCTGCCTCTCGAGCCCCTGGTTCGCGCATTCAAGGAGACCTACCCTGACCCTGAAACCAAGGTCATTCTGGCGGCCGATGTGACCTACTCGAACCATGTCCCGACCGTCTACTCGCGTCTCGTCGAGGAGGGCTACACCAACCTGTTCGCCACGGATATTGTCCACAACCCTTCCTCCGCTATCCCCAATCGCACCGTGCCGGAATCTGTCCAAGAGACTCCGGAGTCACTTTCTGACTGGCAACTCTTCCACATTTCCGACCCACCCACGGCCCTACTCCTGACCCTTGCGTCTCGCGTCGCCGCCATCCATATCTATCCCACCGATGACGTGACAAAGGAGATTGTGAAGCCGTTACCCGCGTCCACGGCGGCTGCCCTGCGTCGCCGGTATGCCATCTTGACCTCCCTCAACACCGTGCCCATCTTCGGCATCCTCGTCAACACGCTGAGCGTGAAGAACTACCTCCACATCGTGGAGCATGTGCGTGATCGGATCGCGGCCGCCGGGAAGAAGAGCTACCTGTTTGTGGTGGGCAAGCTCAACGCGGCCAAGGTGGCCAACTTCAGCGAGATCGGCGGATGGGTGGTCATCGGATGCTGGGAAAGCTCTCTGGTCGATAGCAAGGATTTCTGGAAGCCGGTGATTACTCCATCGGAGCTGGAGCTCACGCTCCAGGGCGATACCGAGCGGGTGTGGACCGGAGCCTGGCGGAGTGACTTCCAGAGCGTCCTCGATCAGTCCAAGGCAGAGGCGGAGAATGCGGACCCCGCGGCGGACGAGGAAGGCGAGATGTCGGAACCCGAGTCCGCACCACCGGAATTCGACCTGCGCACCGGTCGGTATGTCTCGCACTCCCGCCCCATGCGGAATGCTGCACCCCGCGTTTCCGCTTCCTCAGCAGAGGAGGCCGTATCGGCCGCTAGTGGGCCGTCGGCCGCGCGCGCCTTAGCCAGGCGAGCCAAGGGCGATATTGCCATGATCGGCGGGACGTTCTCCCCAGGGGCGGAATTCCTGCAATCCCAGCGGACGTGGAAAGGTCTGGGGAGTGATTTTGATATTCAATACGAGGAAGATGCGCCGGATAGCACGCTGGTGGTGGAAGGGCGCAAGGGAATCGCAAGGGGGTATACAGTGGGCGAGGATGGTGATCGACACTAGGATAGATGATAGACTTCTTGTGCCCTGGGCGGTGCATCCAAATCAAGTTTTCTTGTTGACTGATTGTTGAACTGGGCCGGTAGACAATGCAGATCTGACTGGTCAAGCGTGCTTTTCATGCCTTATTGCTCCTAGCGGCCCAAAAAGAGATGTTGGGTGAGGTAAGTTGCAAGTTGCAAGTTGACTAGTCAAAGTCAGGTAATTTATGGAGTATCGGTAGTCTAGTTGATGAAGATTCAATAAAGGCGGGAGAGTTCAATCACTAAGTTACTGAAAGAATCATGACCATGCTGAGGGAATAAGGTAATAGTTTCCCTATCCCTTTTTAGGCTTTTTTTTTTCCTCACCCTCCTTTCATCCCTCCCCCTCCTCAAGGTATTATTATTTTTCTCTCTGATTATCATCCGACCTCAGCAAAATCCGCATTATCATGCCAGTCGATAGCATTTCCAATTCAGGCTCGTGATGGTCGAAGCGACCTATCACATGATGCTGGGCCGGGCAGATCCCGGCAGCCGTCGTTGGATTTTGTCCCAATCCCCAATCTGAGGTGAGTTGGCAAAGCCACACACACACTCACATACCCACCACACCCACATTCACTCATTTACTCACTCATCCATCCCCATCACATCACCTCACCTCACTCCACCTCACTCTCGTTTCCCTTCTTCTCTTTCTCCAATTCCACCCTTTCCCCCACCCTAAAAATCCCTGTTGTGGTCTTCTTCCTCAGCTCCTCTGCCTGCTTGGTCTTTTCTCCCTTGGTAGACCTCCCTCATATGATGTTCAGCCTTGGGATGTAAACCCGTCCTCCTTGCGCATAGTCGCCCTCTCTATTCCCCTTATGATGGGCGCTCATACCCGCGTTCTCCGCCGTGCTCGCGATCCCGCGACACTCTACCCTCCGACTCAGTCCCGGACTCAATCCATTGACCAAGACATTCAACACATAGAAAAGAATCAAGCTGGAATTTCGGCCGCAGCGCCGTCGTGACAGACCGACAGACCGACATACTCCGGTAGCGCCCTCCGTATCACTCTCACTATCGACGATAACGATGGACGCGGTGAAGAACAACACCGCCGGCCCGAGCCAGCAAGTGCTGGTGGAATCCGCGCTGGAGCAGTCGGACATCCACGCCCAACACTCTTTGTCAACATTCGAAAGAGTCCTCACCACTCATGCGCCCATCCTCGAATCCCTCCTTCTGCAGACCCCCACCGACTCTATTCTCTCGCTCTATCACACTTCCCGCTACCTCCGCTCCTTTCTCCGCTCATACCCAACAGCATGGAAGTACCTTTCGTTCCGGCTCCTCTATCCCTCAGGCACGCCTCCCCCGATTCGCGTGGTCCTCACCGGTTCCTCGGAGGCAGTGGTGCCCCGTCAGTCGCGACCGTACGCTCTCGATCAGCTGCTGATGAATGTGGTGCTTCCGTTCAGCCCGTGTTTGCGCAGCCTGGAGTTGGACAACACGGCGGTCTCGGGTCAGATCCTTATCTCCACAGTCCTTCATGCTCGACGCGAGACACTGGAGCATCTCTCTGTTCGGGGGTGCAAGAACGTGTCACTCAAGTATCACATTATTCCTTACTTGACCATGTTTGGTCTCCAGTACGATGTGAACATGGAACGGAATATCGGTAGCTCTCCTGCCACCAAACACCTCGCTCTCAAAAGTCTATACACCTACCGATGTCGCCACCACCGCCGTCGCCCCTACCTCACGTCATCGCTGTCGCGAAAGGATTCGGATTCCGAGCCCACACATGAGCTGGTCAACCTCTGTCACAAGCTGGGCATCTGGACGGATACGGCGTGGTGCTCGACCCCGGCCGGGCGGTGCTTCCGCAGAAGAGGGTACGTGTCGATGCGGGTTCCCCAGGGTTCGGCCGAGGTCTGGGTCGTCTTTGATCGGCTGTGGAGGTCGAAGAACTGGATCGGACCGATCGACTCGGGTAACAGGCCAGCTCAGCGTGACGGCAAGCTGTGGGAGCACAATGAGACGGGCTATTGCGGCGAACCGCTGGGGACGGGCGAGATTGGTGATCTCGGTGACGGCAAGATGAAACCGGCGCATCTGCGTCAAAGTCACGCGCAATTTGTCCAGAACATCCGCTGTGATAATTGCTGCGAAGTGATCCCGGAGCGGTGCGAGCAATGCAGCATCTTGATGCACTGCGTCGGATGTCGAAAGACTCTGTGTGCTAGCTGTGCATTCGATCGGCCTTACATTGCTGGTCATTTGGAGCCCTCCTCGACCAAGGAGTCGAATCCGTTCTGGTGGGCCCCTGGCGCAACAGTTTCGCCGTGTTCGATGCAAGACCCAATAGAACTCACAGATCATGAGGCACTCACCACCAACCCCACCGCTCCCGCCGCTTATCCGGCCCTCAAGCTGCACTGGTGCTGCACGGAACCCATTTTCTCCGGCGGAGGCGGGATCAGTATCGGCACTTCCAATCGGGACGTAGATCAAGTGCGCGCGGTGCCTTTACCCAGGGGACAAGGCTGGGAGGACCTCGAGATCTCGGCTCAGGAATGGAGCAAGACGTTCCCGCGCGACGCTTACGGGGACCCACGCAAGCCGGATTACACCCTCGAGACGGGACACATCGCCATGATGAAGTGGCTGCTGGGTCCGCCTAACCGACAACCCACGGCTTGTCCCCGGAACTTGTGCCAGGATTGCTACGACACGCCGCAGTGGAAGGTGCATTGCAAGAGCTGCTCGAAGCCGTTGTGCATTGAGCATGATCTCCGCGGTCTACGGCTGAGGATTTGTGGCTACCGGGACTTGACGCTGGAGAAGATGGCGATCCAAAACCACGCTGCATCAGGCTCTCGCGGCTACCTGGCCCCGCACATGGCCTATCCCCACTCCGTCCCTGAGTTCGAGTTACCGTTCCGGACCCAGCGGGTGATCGACTCCACGACGAGCAGCTTCACCGAGGACCACGGTGAGGGGGCCGGGGAGGTGCGCAGTCGCGCTCTGCCCGAACCCCCGGGACCGGCTTCGCTGATCCATCGCCGCTCCCGAAGTCTGTCCCTGTCCAACTCCAACCGATCGCGGTCGTCCTCCCCGTCTTCCATCTACTGTGACTCGCCGTCCGAGCAGCTCCGATGGCAAGGCTGCCAATCCTTCTTCTGCCCGCAGTACCGTGCCGTCGGCGACCAACGCCAGCGGTGCGCCAGCGTGCTCCGCGAATGCACGAGTTGCGCCGTCTACGTGTGCCAGGACTGCGTGAAGGCCAACCCACCCTGCAAGTGCTCCTTCTGCGAAGTCAACTACATCTGCCCGAACTGCGTCAAGGTACGCGAACGCGAGGGGACCTGCCGCCGGTCGGCAGAGGAGAAGGCCCGCCGCGAGCAGAAGTGGAAAGAAGACATGCGTATGCTCGAGGGGATCCTAGAGGCGAAGCTGGCGAACGCGACCGCCGAGTATGCGGGCCAGTTCTTCGGGTTCTTGGAAGGTGGTGAAGTTAGTAGTAGCGCGGCGGCGGAGGTGGAATCCGATGTGCCGCATCCGGAACCGAGCTCGACGAGTCTCGACCCGAGCGACCTGCACGGCCTCCATGAAGTCGATCTTTTCGGAGAAGAGATTCTAACGGATAGTACGGAATGACGAGGATGATACGGGGATCCATTTCAATGGCGTTTAATGGGATATGTGGGAGCATTTTCAGCTTTCTTATTTTCCTTAGCATTTGTGCGAAACCAAAATCTTACATTCTTGGGTGGGATGCGGGAAAGATATGGAAAATGGTAATCTTCTTGTGTTGATGGCATCTTAGTGGGTATGCAGTCATGATGCGCAGGAAGCAAGGAGACTGTTTAGCCGGGGAAGTGTTTGCCATGGGTATAGGGTAGGGTAGGGTAGGTTGTGGTGGGGGATTTGGGACATACGCAAGGCATATAGGGGGCATAATGATCTTTGTGACACTGTCACATTCTCAACAGTTAGCATAGCCAATATTCCACTTTTTCTTGGACTTAATCGAGAGAGTATGGGACCTCTTTTGCATGCACATTCATCGAACAGTAGTAGTACTTGCAAGTACCAGACCAACAGCAACCAAACCCCAATAAGCTCTCGACCCAAAAACCCAAGCCCCGCAACGGACGGAAGCTACTCGAACCGCCGCCGCAGCGCCGCTCCACCATCGAATATTCCCCCGCAGCCCTCTTCTTTTTCTCCAACATCCTCAACCCCTCCGATCCGATCCCCGGCAACTTATTGCGGTACAGTACGGACCTCTCCTCCCATCCAAACCCTTAGTATAACGTCAACACAACACTAACCCCCCCCCTCCCAAATATCTAGAGAACAGAAGACAATGTCGGAACAAGAACCCACCCCCGCCGACCTCGCCGCGCGCGAAGCCGAGGAACACGCCCGCAAGGCCGCCGAGCAGGCCGAGCAGGCCCAGCTCCCCTACAAATGGACGCAGACCATCCGCGACGTCGAGGTCACGATCCCCGTGCCGGGCCACCTGCGCGGCCGCGATCTGGATGTCGTGCTCACCAAGACGAAGATCAAGGTGGCGGTTCGGGGGCAGGAGGCTATTATTGAGGTTTGTTTTTTTCCTTTTACTGTGCCCCCGTACAAGGGGGGTTTTCTACAGTCCTGGCTCAGGGGGTGGGTTGGATGCTAACTAATTTCCCCCTACAAATGCAGGGCACCTTCCCCCACCCGATCGTCGTGGACGAGAGCTCGTGGACGCTGGAGACGACCGCGCACCCGCCGGGCAAGGAGGTGGCCGTGCACCTGGACAAGCTCAACAAGGTGGAGTGGTGGCCGCATGTGGTGACGGGGGCGCCCAAGATCGACGTCAGCAAGATCACGCCCGAGTCGTCCTCGCTGAGCGACCTGGACGGCGAGACGCGCGCCATGGTCGAGAAGATGATGTACGATCAGCGCCAGAAGGAGACCGGAGGCTTGACCAGCGATGAGCAGAAGAAGATGGATATTCTGAAGAAGTTTCAGGCTGAACATCCGGGTTAGTTTTGCCTTTCTTGGGGGGTCCTTGGATATAGGTGTGGGGAGGGATTGTTTTGCTAATGGTTTGCAGAGATGGATTTCTCGAATGCGCAGATTGGTTGAGTTTGGGGTGAGGGGGTTGAGTGAGGGTGTTGTGTATGAAGTAATGATTGCATGCGTTGGTGATGTTTGAGTCTTGTGCTCTGTACGCTGTACTCCGTACTGTGGTTGCATTGGAGTTTTAAGAAATGATGCATAAAATGATGGTGATTGAATACGAGGGTGCTTCTTCGGGACTAGCGTGTCAGCCTTACTGCGTCGATGGCCTCCATCGCTGGCTTGTCTTCCCCTCAGTGTTACCTATCCCCATGCCTTGTCGTTGCAAGCATTGTTGCAAGGTTTCTGAATCGAACCAGCAGGTTGATCAGGCTCAGCTATTCTTAGTCATAGTCATGATCAATCACCATGTCTCTCCCCGCAGGTCAGGGAATCCTCCACCTCCAACTCCCCTCCTCCCAACCGGAACGCATCTATCACGCCCGCCGCGCGCATCGGAAATCCCGCAATGGATGCTCCAAGTGTAAACAACGCCGAGTCAAGGTACACCACACCCTCTTTGTCCAGTACCAGCCTTTTTCTAAGGATCGCAGTGTGACGAATCGAAACCCCACTGCCTCCGCTGCCAGAAGCTCAACCTGGACTGTAGCTATGAACCCAGCAGCAGCAGCAGCAGCAGCAGCAGCAGCACGGACCCTGAGAAAACAATGACCCGGTTCCTGACCAGCTCGCCAGACTCCAGAGCATACAACCTAGCACAAAATGCCGTAGGCACCCAGCTCCACGACCTCCTGCAGCTACCGCAGGGAGCCTCGCCCTCTATCCGCGTCGAGGCCCTGCATCACTTTTATGGTCTCTCCGACCCGGCCCTCGGACCACAAGCCCCGCAAGCCGAGTATCAAAGACGGGTGATCCAGCTCGGATTCGAGGTACGAGCCTCTCCCCCTGGCCTACCTATCCACCCTCTTGCCCTATCCCC